TTTTATATTATGCAAAAGGGCTCTTTGTAATGTCTCCATTGTGAATGAAGATGGCTCTATAAGTAAAGACTGTCTGCTTGATAAGTGCACTGTACCCAACGGGTCACCGTTTTTCTTCAGAGGTTGTCAGGGTATGAGGAAATCGATCAGATTCTGTGCTCGTTTTCATTTCCTCCATTGGAAATAACAGCCAGGAGCTGCAGCTGGCCTCCTAAAGAGGCAGTCAGTCTGGAAGAAATTGTGATGCAAAGAGATAATCATTTTCATAAGAACGCCTCGTTTTTTTCTGACAGCCTCTGAACACACCTGTTGTTTGAAATGCCTCTGGTAGAAAGAGATGAAACCTGTTCAAGAAGGTTTATTTCAAACTAACCAGGTGTCTGGATGTAACATAATTTACCCAACACTGTGTGTATCAGTTGTTTCTAAACCATCAGTTTCCCTCTTTTGTGCTTCTTGTAGCTGATTAATCTATTCTAGTTATCTCTTTGCCTGTAAAACAGCTCAGGTGCTCTCAGACTGATTTTTAGCTATTTATATGCATCCTCCTGAAGATGCATTATTCCCTCTCTTCCAGCACAGAAATGAAGCAGTGTTGCATGGAAATGGGGACTGCACTCACAATCAGTGCACATATCCAGAGTCTGGGCAGGAGAAGTAATGGCATTGTTAATTACCACCCCGCTGCCACTGCAGCTGGCCAATATCTCACTTCCTTCCTCCACTCCCTCTATCACACCTGCCAGTGTTGGAGTGATAAACTAGGTTCACAGCGGAGCGTAGAGGGATGGAAGTGAACTCTCCCGCTATGAATGCAAACACATACAGTAGGTAGCCTGTGAGCTAACAAGGTCTGCTCCATAGTTTCATAGCAGTGAGCCACATTACAGGTCTTTTCTATGCTGTAGATGTTTGCTGTCAGGAAGATGGATGAGCACAGCCTGTTACACAAACCCGTCCACAAGACAACTAAAACTAAATCTGAGACGACTCTGTGGACGGATATGTCACCTACCGCCATGACACTTCTCACTCATACTGGTTTCCAGCTGGATGTTTCTTCCTCTGTTAAACATGATCAGAATTAATTTACTAATTTTTGGTGCCTGTCTGTTTTTTTTCCTGTCTTCTCTGATAAAAAGGGTCATTATCAGTGGACAATTTTTGCAAACATTTTGTTAAACAATGCACCAGTAGAAAATGGCTCCCTAAGTTGAAAAATGTTTTTTTTTTTTTTTTTTTCTGGTCTAATCGTTTAACAATTTACATTAGCTTATAAATGCAAACTAAAAATACAAAAAAAAATTAAGCTAACTGCCTTTTTTTCTTCGATATTTTTTCCACTCCGTTTGGTTTAACTGGATATTTATTATATTAACTAGAATATAAATATATGTTTATTTATTTGCGGCTGTTAATATTATTAAGCTGATGAAGATTCTCAGTCATCCACTTTATAGTCATTCCATAAAAGTTTAAAAACAATACACTGGGCTTAGTTTCCAATTTTGAAACTTGTAAAAAAAAAGTCCAGTGGAGTGTTTTTAACTTTTTTGGAATTAATATTATCTAATATTGCATTCATATTGCAGTTTTCCCTGCATTCTTATATGCATAACATTTCATGCTTATCCATCTCACATGCTTCTCTCTGTCCTCTACCTTTTTTTCCTCCTCCTTCTTTATATTCATGTAACATAACACATAACATCACCCTCTCTAATTTGCTTTATAAATACATGTCTTATCAGAATAAGAAATAAAGCATAGCAACTGAAACACTAGAGCCGTTAGGTACACAATAAAACCGTCATAAAATTTGGAAAAGGTTGATGATATAGATTGTTTTTGGATTGTTTTGGCAGAAAATAAAAAAAGATAAATAAATTCAGTGCATACATAAAGTTCTATGATAAGTGGAAAGGTATGCAAAACATTAAGCACATTAATACAAGGTCCTGCAAAGGAGGCAAAAGCCAAGCACACTAAAAAAAATGACTCACTGGATTAACTCAATTTAATTAATAGCAGTTTTTCCATCCAATACATTTTTGCTAGCTGAACCAAATCCACATTTATCTGTTTGGTGTAATTTCATTGAGTCTGTACAACACAATTTGTCTAAATACTTTAAAAAGGAAATTAATATATAGACCAAGTTTGAATATTTTTGGTTCAACTTAATACATTTGAATTGGGTTGACCTTAATTGAATTAAGTTATGCTCAATTAACTTAAAACATTTGAATATCTCATGACAAATGAACTGGTTTTATGAACTGAACTGTATTTAATTAAAAAATGGAGTGGAGGATGTTCTTTCTCTGGATGGATCATCTAAATAATTTGTCCTCCTAATCATCAATCATTCTGTTGATATGTTTACATAAGGCCGTCCTACGTGCTCGTCCCCATTTACTGAAGGTGAGAAATGGTTGACCAATTGCGAATCTTTTTTTGGAAAGTAAGCTTGTATGAGCGATGCAAACAGCAATTTTTAAACAGAGTGTGAACGAGGAGATATGTGCTCAAGCATGCTCTCACTCGCATTTAATAGGTGTTCCCTCTTTGGAGCAGGTAAAGGGTTGTGAATGAGCATGCCCTTTCAAAAATTCATGAAAATCCTGCACTGTACCTTTAAAAGCGGACATTTCAATCGTTTTGCTCAGCTACAGCTCAAACTGTACGATGAAACAGCAGGGATTGAAAGTTCACAGCTCACAATGCATGTTCTCACACTGTGCGACCTGACGATATGATGCAATCTATCTGCTCACACTGTACGTCCAAAAACCACACGTAGGACTCAGCGTCAAGAGATGGCGATGGTCTGACTCGTCAATCCGGAAGAAGAAGAACTCCCTTGTTTGCACATGCGTGGCGTGCGATGCTCTGGTAAATCGGCTCGTAATTCTGCTTCAACAGATGATCGTCCACGACCACGAAATTATCTTAGCAAGGACCAATTTTCCTCAGCATTGCAGATTAACCTAAAATTCTTGAGTTCACTTCAAAGACTGTCCTTGTAAGCTCACAGGTCAGCCATATAGACGATCAAGAGTTTTAGGTTACTATGCATTATACATAAAATGTTCATACATATTGTGTTACATCAATTAAACAACTAAATAAATAATTCTGGAACCAATTACTTTAGGGTATGTTGAATGATAACAATGTGTCACCTCAAAGAGGGGCTTGAATAATTGTTTTGAGTTTATAAAGCATAAGCAGGTAGGATGATCTTATTCATGGGCAGTTACTCCAAAAGAAAGGTTTCTTATCTACATTTCTGAAAAAAATCATCCACAAAACCTTTAATCGATTATGGTTCTGAATGACGTTAATATGAGCATACACTCATACATACATTAAACAGGTTCGGTTATTATTCATCTGTAGCCATGATACTCCTGACATACAGACACAGGTGTTCTACAACATAAAACACAAAAACATTTTCAGTTATTAGCAGGAATTCCATAATATGTTAATGAGAATTACTGGATGTTCATTTTATGGCTAATCCACTAAAATTTAAAATGTTCGGTCAGGGAAGATTTTCCAATTGCTGCCACCCTCTGGTTTATATTAAAACTGGTTGTTGCATGAATGTGGTGAATTAAGTTGCCATGGAAACCACAAATCACCTTGTAGGGCTAGTATCAGGGTTGGCTAAGGATTGGTAGCCATGGTCACTTTTACACTGTTGGCCGCTCCTTAGCAAGATAAGTAAATAATGGCTGTCCTGCAAGGCGCTAGATGATGTCATCGCCTAATGTGCATATTTTATCTCATCCAGCTGCAGGAGATTGAGAATCCCTCCAATTACTTTTTTTTTTTGGTTGTCTATCAAAGCAGTACAGAGAGATATTGGGAAAGCTGAAAGGGAAAACTGTTTGCCAACTTCGGAAATAAAAAAAATAGGAGACAGCAGTGCAGAGACAAGAGGATTTCGTAAATTATTGCAACGTAGATCAGGAGTAGTAATAGTTTTGCATGTGCAGAATTACTTTGCAATCTGGATTTTAGGTGGTAAGGTTCTCTCTCTCTCTCTCTATTGCAGTGGGCAGCCTGCCAAACATGAATCATGACAGCAGACAGTGATATCTCTTTTGCACTGGACAAAATACCCGTTAAAACGTGGGAACAATCAGCTTTTAGTGGCAGTGGGAACAGGTCAGTGATGCATGTCTACTTGGGTCAAGATACTCTGCAAGCGACTCCCTTTAAAATCGCCTTGGCACTGATCGGCATGCTGTAGGAACACCACAGCCGGGTAGACCTGCTAACACACAGCGCCAGTAGCTTCTGATCTAACAAGCAGAAACAACTGTGTTTATATTAGATAAACATAGAGAACCACAGCTGAGAGGGATTCAGACAGATAAAGAGGGAAACAATAAAGCACACTGACTACATCCTGGCTTCCTTATATGTTGCTCTCCATTGTTTACTTTCCTGACTGCTGTCGCACTGGTGACATCATCAACGCTCACCCACCATTAAGGTGCAACCAGACACGCAGCCCTGGGGGGACAGAGGCCACGCAGCTGCCAGCGAGGGGTTAGACCAGCTTTTTTTTTTTTTTTGCTTCGCAGTGAGAAGGAAGCCAGATACTGATTGTTTCTCGTTTGAAACACCTGGGTTATTTCAGTGGGAAAGAGGCTTGAGAGAGAGGGGAGGATCCACTTGCTCAGGAGAACACAGTTTACTGATAGAATCTCAAATAACACAGAAACAAGTCGCAATATTTGTTGCTCAGTGTTTTTTGAAATAAAAAAGTTGCTAAATTTAGCTGCAAAAGCACTAACTTTTCACCACTACACCCATGCCTGCGGTCATTTCAGATAGCTCAAATTGTTTTGGAAAAGTTGCAAACTAAATGTTTGGCCAACAAACAGACACCGTTTTAGATTTACATTAGATCCAGAGACTAAGAAAAGAAGAGCTTGATACATTTAACTAAAGAGTTTTCAAAAACCTTTTCAGAAGCGTACCTCGTAAAGGTCCAACATCTGGTTCCCAGCAATACCCCTGGTAGTCTTGACATTTTCCATTGCCAAGGTAAAGTAGATCCCTCTAGTGTCAGACAGGTAGAGGTTGTAGGTGTCGTTCTGGTTCCATTCCTGCACGGCCGCAAAGACCTGCTCCCCGTCAGTGCTGACGATGTGTAAATCCTTTCAGGAAGCAGCAGGAGAGATTAAGAGCACTTATGACAAGAGGCAGTGAGGTGATGGATTAGAATATGTTGACCCTATGGGAATGGTCATGAGATCAATAATGTGGTGTGAATATATATAGCTGAATTGTATCTCCCACAGCGAGAGTTTAAAGAATCATAAGAACAATTTGCCTGCTTGCAAAACAAACAAATTGAACATGTCTTCATCAGCTCTAACCTTTAAAAGTGTAAAAGTCTAACCTTGAGATATATTGGCAAATTTAATTATTAGCTGCATGATTAATTTGTTTTGACATTTAGAAATTAAAACAGACATTACATGAGTCTGATAAGAAAAAGTAAGCTGCAGCTTACCTTTGGTAGAGAATATTTAGGCAGTTTGATCTGTATGAAGGCTTCTCTCTTATAGGAGACATAATAAGTTGCTCGTCCGAATGTGGGAACCTTTAAGACAAAGAAACACAACAATTTAGTTATGCTTTTTAGTCCAAAGATTAAAGTTACTTATAGTAGTTTAGGTGAGGACAGCACAGGGGATGGTGGGATGCCGTCTACCTGCACATGCCCAGAAAATGGCAACATGATGCGTTCTCTTTGGGATGGTTTATATTTACTACAAGTGTTCTCTTCTTAGAGTTTATCCACCATTTTCTTTCTCATAGCGGGTTTATCTTTTATGATTTTCTTATTAGGTTGTTTTATTTTCTCCAAAAGTGTCCTTTAAAGGTGTTTTTGTGTTCTAGAGGTGTTTTAATGTTCTATCTGAGTATTTAATGTGCATTACAAGGCAAAGATTTAACGTTTGATTATAATTTCATGAAGATAAAGATTCTAGCCTTTTCTGAAAACTAGATTAATATTTTTTATTAGTTTTTCATGACCATAATCCTAATAATTTGTTTCAGACTTTAAATCAAGTTGAATATATCCATTTATATAAAAATGGACTTTTACAAAGGTATATCAACCTCATCTACCTCACTGTCTTAGCTATCTTTTTCCAGCCTCTATATTTAATAGAAATATGCATTGTGGCAATAAAATCATAGCACTTAGATAAAATTACTTTATCCTGTATTACGCTGCGCAAACTCTCCACGTTCTCTGATAACGATCCCCTCACCTCTGCATGCTAAATGCTCCAAATGATCAGCAGGGTGACCTTCTTTTGTCAAGGCAATCTATAACCACTGTGGCCAAAATTGGATGTCGTAAAAGTAATTTGCTGACATCACAACCTAATAGACATATTTTGTAATGCTCATATAAAAGAGAGGAATATCAACATTTGCGAAACGAAAGTGATGAAAAACACTCTGAATACTATTAAAACGTTTATTTTTCCTGAACCAAAACTAGATAAATCTTATGTGATCAAGTTCAACATACAGACAGTTGGCAGAGGGACACACAGTAGATGAGGCTGTAATGAAATGCAGGGATGATACATTTTAGTGCAACAGTAAAGAAAAAACACTATACTTTAAATTATATTTATGTTGAGCGTTTTAATCCAGAGGGTTAGCGGGAGCTTTCCACATGTTTGCGATATGGAAATAGAGGGGAGTCACCCCTTGCTCACACTGGCTCTGGTGCGGTTACCGAGCCGACGGAGACCGCAACTCCCGCACACCCCCTCTCACACCGCCCTTTTGACTACGGTGCGGTGCGGCTCTGCGGCTCCGGCAACAGGTCCGGAGATTTAACTCGCGAGAACAGAAGTTCACTTGAGTTCACGTAACTTCACGCGATAACACGGCCCAAATAAGGATATTTGCGAGAGCTTGTTGCGGAGGGCTCCGGCACGCCGCAAGGATAGCTTTCTTGCTGAATTTTCTGCAGCGCCGGAGTGTCTCGGTAACCGCAGCCGGACAGCTCAGCAGCTGGTGAGAGAGGTTTACGTCTTTTTAATGACTTGGTAAGGTAAGACCGGAGTCGGTGTGAGCCGGGGGTCACTCCTCCTTTGACTAACTGTTAGTGCTTTGGAGGACGGTGGGGCTACAGCAGCACTCTCTGCTCGCTGAAGACAGTAATCTCAGATCAATCCTTGATTTCATGTTTTTTACTAACGTCTTTAAAATCATAGAATGAAATGATATTGCTTTATTAGCATAAGAAACATCACTAGATGTAGCAACAAAGTCCTTAAGTTTGCAACAGTTCCTGTATTGGGATGGCTCATGTAAATCATTAATGTGTAAAATACATTAGCAGTAGTTTTTGCCAGCTAAAGGCTGATTTATGCTCAGAAACCAGGTCGTCTGTGTGTGTGTTGCAGTTACACAGGGGTGCCCCCGCCCCTTCCACAGACAGTCTGTTGCACCTTTCCAAAATTGGTACCTTACCGGCTTGTTTTGTTTGTTATACCGCTATTGTGGAAAACGACTCGTGAAGATGGACCAGCTTGAAGAGCGAGGTGCGGGAGAACACTGTGAACTTTTTTCACCTGGATCCCCGCTCTTTTTTACCCGAATGTCCCTAGTGGTGGGGTGTTTGTCGCACAAACACCCCACCCCCACTTATTTACCGCCTCAGCCGTTGTGGAGTGGAATAACATAGCTCAGACCACACTTCAATATTGGGCATAAATCAAAAATATCTGTGAGAAGCTCACTGCGACACACTGCTGTGGGAGGATAACCAGGCCTTTAGCTTTACCAGTAAGACTTTTTAGTGATCTTAATTCATAGATGTTTCCTATAGTCTGTTATCGACATTTGTTAGAGATTTTATTAACTGTTTATTCAAATGCATGACCCTCATTTATAAGCACTCGACAGTATAATAACATTTAAAATGTAATTTTTGCAACTAGCAGTTATTAAACTTTACTTGAGTTAAGGGGAACAATTTATTACAGTAAAAATTATCTAATGGCAGTTAAAGTTGGGCAACAAAATGTTACCACCTACATCTAAACAACTTTTTAAAGATTTATTATTAGACCTAGATTTAAATCCAGACATCTTTATGATGGGTTATCATTTCTTACTTATTTCCAAGCTGTCACACAAATGATATTTCTGGTTCTGTCACTGTTGAGTTGTAGTGAGAACATAAAAAAAAAAACGTCAACTCTCACAATTTACGTAATGACAGTTAATGACAACAGTTATGATCATTTATAAAGACTGCTTTATGATCATGACCGGTGTTACAGTATGTCATGTTTATGACATTGTAATGTCAGTCTTATACATGCGCCTTCGAGTAAAGTATTATCAAGGGTTTGTATTTCTTTTTTATATGTATTATCTTGTCTTTAATTGAAATTATAGCTTTTTTCGTTCTTCTCACAGTAATCAGCAGTGGAGTCTGATTCTCTCTTAGGTTCTTTCTTTTTTAATAATAACAAAAATCTCCCACAATGTGGATATTTTATGCAGATTGTATGCTGCAACATTTTGTTTAAGCTCCTCATAAAATGGTTTTCAATCAATAACAATGATTTGGGTTTAGGTCTCTAGTCATGTATCTTTATTGTCAGATTTTCAAGGTGGTTACCCAGAGAGTTGTCCTTTGTTCCCGCTTGGTGATTTATAGTCACCACCTGACTTTAAGTCAGAAAATACCCTCCTCCCTAGGCGTCAGTGAACTTGGTGGTTTTAAAGTGGACTTTGGTAATATCTCATAGGACAATCAATAGTTTCATTATTCTTTGTCAGGAGAAGTCTTTAAGTTGCCTAACGAAGCCTCATCTGAAGTGAAGGGGGGGATGGGAAAGTCATCCTTCATGTTGCAGACCTTCTGGAAACACTACAAGCTGTTAGGAGTCTGTTTGGGGAGGTGGGTGGTGGAGAAGCGTCATTAGCCTTGGGGCAACAAAGGACGGCCATTTGTAAACATAGAGATACACAGAGCAAAATGATTGTGTAGTTTCATAACCCAATTTTCCTCCTGATCGATAACGACATAAAATTCATTAGATAAAAACCTTCAATTTCACAGCTTGCGGAGGAGAAGCGATGTGAGCATCAATGTTACACGACGCTGCTGATATTGTAACTGATCTTGTAAGTGCTCTGTGTGACTCAGAGGAGAGAACACAAGCTTTGAGAGGAAAGTCGACGGCCCAGCTGTGAGCACCGCAGAACATTCCCACATGCAATCGAATGCAGGAACTGCAGATCGATAGCCAGATAACCAGCAGCAATTTGAACTTTAAAAGGAATTGGTATGATTGATTTTTTTTGCCCCCCCTCATCCCTTGTTGGATCTTTCGTCTGTGACGCACGTGAGTTAAAATGTGGAGGCGAACTGAAATTAAACAAAGGTCTGGGTCAGGCGCCTGTTAGTTCAGTTGAAAGACTCAGGAGAGGTTAGGCAGGATTGAAGGACCTTTACGGAACAGCTTAATTTCTTTGTTTAAAGTGCTGGAAGGGTGTAAAGTTTCAGGTAATGGGGCTTTGAACACATTCATGTGCTTCACTGAAAACATTTCCTCTGATCAAACTGTAACAGAAGTACAAACAATGCAAAACCTTTTCATAAGAATTTGATTAAGTTAGCATTTAAATTATGTTCAATAAGTTCCTATTTAGGCAATTACATAAAAAAATTTATAAAATACATTGAATAACAATAATACAGTAGCAGCCATTCAAAATGGCCCCTCCCAGCTGAATGGTAGCTCAATGGCAGCCCATTAGCAGCCCACTTCCCTGCAACTCCCAGCAAAATCCCATTCAACGTCCAGCCACTGGAGTGATACCCTCTTGCATATTTTTTTACTTTGACTCCCTGCTTTCACTGAATTACAGGGTCTGACCAGGAGATGTTGCTTCTGTTTAGATCTTAATGTCCACAAATCATGACAGAAATAATACTTTAGTGCAAAGATTGATGTTTAAAAAGGAATAGTAGGGGACCAGCGGAGGACCAGCCAAGGGCCCATCAAGGAAAGTGGAAATTTTGAATGGCTACTACTGTATACCATAGACCATACTTCCTCAATTACAGTCCTTAAATGTGTCCTGCACCTTTAAAAGCTGTCTCTACTTTTACACCTGAATCAAAAAGCTATATAACGTCTTAAACATGTAGTCAAAGGGTTAAATCTGATTGGAGCTCCCAGCTCCTATTCCTTCCCCTTTAATGAACAGTAAGAACCCTATCCATGCTGAATTCAGACAGCCTTCAGCCTTTTGACCATCATTACACAGCAGATTCACACATGAATAATACTGGTCAAATTGCAAAATAGAAATACAAAAAGAAAAGTTACACAAATGTAGTGAATGGCTAAAGCTGTTATAGGAAAATTATAAAGTTATAAAAACTGAAACACATGAAGGAGTGTAAACAGGTGTGCGTAAAGGCATTATATGTTTTTGTTAAACTACATGAGGTGGGCTGTCTGTTCTGTCAAGTGAGTTAAAATGTGGAGGCGAACTGAAATTAAACAAAGGTCTGGGTCAGGCGCCTGTGAGTTCAGTTGAAAGACT